CGGGTGATCTGCTCACCTTGGCCTCCCGCAGTGCTGGGATTACAGGCATGAGCCACCGTGCCCAGCCTGCATTTGGCTGTATCAGGCAAGAGGATATTCCCATTCTGGGACCCATTTTTTAAAAATTCACTGTGATCACCTCATCTTTCTCAGCCTCAAAAACCCAATCCCAGGCTCAGCCCAACTCCCGTCTTGCCCATCTTACTTCTTAGAGCTTTGTGACTCTGCCCCCTGAAGCTTCTGGAAGATCTCGGGTGGCAGAAAAGGAGAGAGCTTCCCTCCCTCGTCGGAGTAGACACGGCGGTGTCTGCCGGCAGGCTGGGGGCTGGGAGCAGCTGCAGGCATGGTCGGCTTCAGGCGTGATTTCCCTGCAAGCCATTGGCAGCCAGAGGTCAAGCGGTGGGCCCACATCCCACAGAGGAGATGCAGGCTTGGGGGATGCCCCAGGAGAGCCGCCTACTGCAGAAGACCCACCAAGCTTGGTGGCCGTTGACTGGGCCCTCTCCAGACACTGCTGTGCTAGCTTCAGCATCTTGGAGGTGTCCGGGGGCACAGTCTCCCTAGCTTCTGGAGGAGGGACAAGAAGGCTGGTCACAGTTGGCTCTATCACCGTTACCTATTGCTGAGATAAAATGAGGCAATGGAAAAGCCAGGCAAGCCCACTGCCCCCCATGGACCCTGGGCAAGCCCACGGCCCCTTCCACTCCCCACTGACCCCGCGCAAGCCGACTATCCCTCATGGACTCCAGGCAAGCCCCCTGCCCCACCGTGGACCCTGGGCAAGCCCCCCCACCCACTGATCTCTAATCATCTGCCCTGGTTTTGCCTCCTGAGCCTGCTAAGTCTGTGTGTCCCTCATCAAGGCCTGTCAGAGCCTAGACCCTAAATGGGAAGTGGCTGTTTTACAGAGACAAGGATGTGCTGAGGGGAACTGCCTCACCCATCTCCCACTGGCTATGTCCCCAAAGTCCTGCCTTCCTGTAGGCTTGGCATGGAGCACCTCTGCATGTGACCACGGGCCTGCTCACATAGCTCTTCTGCATACCATGGGAGCTACCTCTGTGACTCACCCCTGGACCCACTGCCCCAGTGCCTGACCCACCTCCCTGCTGCCTTTCACAGAAAACTTCTCACAGACTCCCATTTGCTTATCTGGCCCCGATTTCGGAAACTGCCCTTACCCATCCCCACCTTGCCAGATATGGTGGGCCACAGGCGTTCCTCTGTCTTCTGGGACTTTGCTCTCCCCAGGGGATCCTCTGCCACTCCTCCACCCAACTCCTCAATCTTGGAGCGCCAGAGCTCAGCTGAGCTCACTGGCTCCCTAGGGAGCTGGGGCAACTGTTAACTCCCCCGACCTCTGTGCTCCTATGTCCGGTGGCTGCTGGCCCCCTCAAACTTAATGTGTTCATCATGGAACTTTCTGTTCCTCCCCTTGCCAGTCTGCTCCTGTCACCATGTGCCTCCTGCAAGTCTGTTGTTCCACCTTCAGGACACACCTCCAGACCGTTTACTGCTCCCATCCTGGGTGGTCCGGCCACTGCCATCCTCAGTCCTCACCTGAGGCTCCGCTTCCAGGCTGCTCTCTCCCTCAAAGCCTCTTCAAGTTTCCCTTCACACCAGAACAGCCCCAGTTCCACCCAAGGCATGCACACAGCCCCGCCCCACCCACTCCTATTTCAGGGCCTTTGCACACACTACTGTTGGAATGCTGCCCCACCTCTGTGCCACTCACTGGACCCAATGTCTTACCACACCCCAATCTCCATCCTCTTACCCACAACACTGGTCCCTTCCTGCCACTATATCACACTGAATGTGGGCTGGTCTACCTGCTACAAATGGTCAGGCTGGAAGGATACAGGACACCCCCCTGAAGCCTGGCACTCATCAATGGCTAGGCTGCCCACAATTTTTTTTTTTTTCTTTTTTTTTGAGATGGAGTTTGGCTCCGTCGCCCAGACTGGAGTGCAGTGGTGTGATCTTGGCTCACTGCAAGCTCTGCCTCCCAGGTTCATGCCATTCTCCTGCCTCAGCCTCCCAAGTAGCTGGGACAACAGGCGCCCGCCACCTTGCCCGGCTTTTTTGTATTTTTATAGAGACAGGGTTTGACCGTGTTAGCCAGGATGGTCTCGATCTCTTGACCTTGTGATCCGCCTGCCTTGGCCTCCCAAAGTAGTAGGATTACAGGCGTGAGCCACTGCACCCAGCCTAGGCTGCCCACAATTTGTCCAGCATGGAGGGAGCAGCAGGCCTTAGCCATGACTTTTTTTTTTTTTTTTTTGAGAAGGAGTTTCGCTCTTGTTGCCCAGGCTGGAGTACAATGGGGTGATCTCGGCTCACTGCAGCCTACGCCTCCTGGGTTCAAGTGATTCTTCTGCGTCAGGCTCCCGAGTAGCTGTGATTCCAGGCGCCCACCACCACGGCCAGCTACTTTTTGTATTTTTAGTAGAGACGGGGCTTCGCCACGTTGGCCAGGCTGGTCTCGAACTCCTGACCTCAGGTGATCCGCCCGCCTCTGCTTCCCACAGTGGTGGGATTACAGGCATGAGCCACCGCGCCCGGCCGGCTGAGCCGTACCTTTAGTGGTTTCCACTTCTTCCAGTAACACCTGGGAGATATAGTGGATGGTCCTCAGGTATTCTGTGTATGCCTCCTGTGTCCAGGAAAGAGAACAGTGGGGTCAGGCCTGTGGAGGGAAGTGACTCCATCATTCCTTCCGGGTCCCCTTGTGGGATAAGCAAGGAACACCCACCACCTGCTTATCTCTGAGATACACCAGAGACGTTGAGCCTGCAGTGGTTGGCTGCAGCCAGAACACGGTTTTCTGCCTGGGACACAGGCAGCATCACTGCTCTGCAGACTTGGAAAACACATCAGAACCTGAGAGAGCGAGCCAGGGACGAGCTGGACCTCACTTTCTCCTCTCACTGCCTTTCTCTCCAGCACAGGAACTGATGTTCTCATTCAGTGGGCCTGGGGAAGTGACCTCAGCAGTTTGCTGTCATTTTTCACTCTATGCGGCGTTTCCTTCTTGTGCAACTCAAGGGTGATTCACTCAGTGGCTTAAAAAAATACTTCCTGAGAGGATAAAGGGAGTGATACTGGAAGTTTTCAAATCACTTCCTGGCTTAAGTTCTGAGAAATCCCTTTCCCAGAACCCCTGAGTTACGTATTCCCAGTGCACACAGGAGCCTAGAACATGTGACTGTTACCTTTCAAGGCCGTGTGACCCCTGTGACAAGGTGCAGGTCATTGGAACCACAGGATGGTGGTTTGTTTTGTTGAGACAGAGTCTCACTCTGTCGCCCAGATTGGAGGACAGTGGCAGGATCTCGAGTCACTGCAACCTCCGCCTCCTGGATTCAAGTGATTCTCCTACCTCAGTGTCCTAAGTAGCTAAGATTACAGGTGTGCACTGCCACGCCTGGCTAATTTTTGTATTTTTAGTAGAGACAGGGTTTCACTGCGTTGGCCAGGCTGGTCTCGAACGCCTGACCTCAGGTGATCCGCCGCCTAAGCCTCCTAAAGTGTTAGGATTACAGGTGTGAGCCACCGCGCCCAGCAATATGGTGTGTTTGTTTTGTTTTATCCCCAGCTGTTAATTTACCTATCTTTAAGTCTACGCCTCAGACAAAAAGACAAAGTACAATCCAGGCAGGATTTCTGACTTGTGGGGGCACCTGCTGCCCTAAAAACCAACTTGGGGAAAGCGGCAGATTCAGGAACGAGGCCTCTCCTAGGCACAGGCAGGCTCCTTCCCTCCGTGGGCAGCCGGGCGTGGCTGAGCCGGCTTCTCTACCTGGTCACCAACCTTAGATTCGGCCCCATCTCAGAAACGGGCCACACCCCTCCGGCCTGCTTTTCCTTCCTAAGGCGACTACAAAGTCTCACAAACGAGCGGGCATGTGGCCTTCTCTGGATTCCGTCCCCCGTGGCAACCGGATTAAATCTACCATCTCTCCCCAGAAAAGTGCACGAACGCATGGACCTGCTCGTCACACGGGTTTTGCAAGGTGGCGTGGGGACTCTCCCGCTGCATCTCCTCAACAGCTGGAGCCCAGGCTCTCATGCGCCGGCTCAGCGAGCGGACTGGAAAGCCGAGGCCGGCAGGATCTGAGCTGTCCAAGGTCACTGCACGCCCGGCTGCGCCCCGCCCCCGTCCTCGCCCGGGAACCGCGGGGGGTCCCCGTTGGCGCCTGCCCCCGCGTCCCCAGCCCGAGCCGGCCCAGTCCTCGCCCTCCCGGGGCGGGGGTCCCTCCAGGGGCCACCCTCGGCGGCCAAGCCCCGCCCCCGCCCCGCCTCACCCGGGGCCGGTTGCCGGTGTCCAGCTCGATGGCCCCGTTGGCCAACTTCATGGCGCTCTGCAGCGGCTTCACCGTGCCGTCCCCGGCCGCAGCGGCCATGGCGCCGGGCGGGGGAGGCGGCGGCGGCAGCCGAGGGGCGGGACTGGCGGCCGGGAGCCCGGAACGCAGCCGGCGCGGGTGCGGGAGCCGCCCGAGCAGCGGACCGCCGGAAGGGACGCGGCCGCACTTCCGGCGACGGGCCCCCTCCGCGCGTACTTCGGGCCCCACGGGTGTTAGTGGCGGGGGTGGCAGAGCTAGGGCGGGTTGTCGCGACGGCGCCGGGCCCCTTCGCCGTCTCGAGATGGGGCTGGCGAGAAAGGCCCCTCACGGAGTTGCCATGGGCGTCTAACCGCGGCAGCCAGGCCCCTGCCTACGTGAGACCCCGGCCCCCGTCCCCTCTGCAGCCCGCCCGCCACCTGCGCGCCGCGTGGCCTCCGCCGGCGCCTGCCCGCCCCGCGCCTCCGTCTCTCACGGTAAGAGGCGGGGAGGGCCGCGTCGCCTCTCCCTGGAGGGCTCGTCGTGAGGTCGCGGCGAGCCCCTCCGCCCAGCGCCCTGCCCCAGTCCAGCGCTCCATTGGAGGCAGCGGCGGGCACGGCCGCCCTCGGGCCGGAGAGGGGAGCGGGTACGAGCGGGGGCGCTGGCACCGCGCGTGGAACCTCGGCCGCGGGGTCCCGCCCCTGGCCCCTGGCCCGCCCCGCCCGCCTCGCTCGCCTCGCTTTGCTTCTCGCTCCGCCCCTCGCCCGCCCCGCCTCGCTTCCAGCGCGCCGAGCGGAGCCGAACGCCGGGTCCTCCAGGAACCTCGAGCCGGGCCGAGCGGGGCCGGGCAGCACCCGCGGGGTTCTACTGGCGTCCTCCGCTGCCATGAAGCGGGACCGGCTGGGCCGCTTCCTGTCCCCTGGGGCGGCCCGGCAGCGCGGAGCCTCGGGCGGCGGCGGCGGCCGTGCTCGGGGCCGCCCTTCCCTCAGCGGCGGGTCAAGGGTGGACGGGGCGACGGCGCGGCGCGCCTGGGGCCCGGTTGGGCACTGCGGGGACGCGGGCGAGGACGGCGTGGACGAGGCAGGTGGGTCCCCGGCCCGGGCGTGGCGGGCGGGGGTCGCGGCGGGGGCTGCGCGTGGGCGGAGCTGCACTGACGCCCGGAAGCGGCGCGGCCTCCCCTCCGCCCGGCCGAGCGCGCGGCGGACTCGGGGCTGCGTCTGGATGGGCGCTGGGCGGCCGGCTCGGTTTTCCCCGCGCTCCGTGGCGCTGGCGTCGCCGGCCCGGCCTCCCCGGCCGCGGGCTCGGTCAGAAGGGACCCGGCGTGAGGAGCGCTGTCACCGCGGGCAGGTCGCCCTTGGGCGCCCGCGCGTGGGAATCGCCCTCTCCGGCTTCGTGTTCTCCGGGAGCAGGAAAGGAGGCGGCACCTGCACTTGGCAGACAGGAAACCGCGGCGTTTCCTGGAGGGCGCGGCGCCGTCCCGGGTCTCGCGGTCGCTGGGAGGAGGGTGCAGTTCCAGGTTTCGCTCGTGAAGCTGTTTCGCTGGGAGGCTCTCAGAGGCCTTTGAAATTGGAAAGATTTCTTGGACCAGCGGCCGCATCCCCCACAGGGCGGCTTGTCCCGCCTGGAGCCGCGCGCCCGAGCCGCCTGCTGTGTCCGGGGGCCGCGCCGAGGACGATGCAGGCGCTGCCCTCGAACCTGGAGTCCGGGACGCCCCGTGCTCGGGAGCCTCCGCCTTTGCCGGCTGCTAACACTTTCTGCCGCTCTGTGCAGGAGCAGGCCGGGCTCTCGCCATGGGTCACTGTCGCCTCTGCCACGGGAAGTTTTCCTCGAGAAGCCTGCGCGGCATCTCTGAGAGGGCGCCTGGAGCGAGCATGGAGAGGCCGTCGGCAGAGGAGCGCGTGCTCGTCAGGGACTTCCAGCGCCTGCTGGGGGTGGCTGTCCGCCAGGACCCCGCCTTATCTCAGTTTGTCTGCAAGAGCTGCCACGCCCAGTTCTACCAGTGCCACAGCCTCCTCAGGTCCTTCCTGCAGAGGGTCAACGTCTCCCCGACGGGTCGCCGGAAGCCTTGTGCAAAGTACGCCCTAGTCTACTGAGGGCACGTTCAGGCTGTCAGCACTGCAGTGTGACGGGTGCTGAGAGAGGGACAGGGCATGCCTTGGCGGGAGCCTCTGGGTGGCGGGAGTGGGCCATGCCCAGGCTCAGTGTGAATAGCCCTGGGACTGGTGTGGAGAGATGAACTGGGAGGAGCTGGGGTGAGGGAAGAGAAGGTTACCTATGGGAACCGCTGAGGTTTGAGACCTTGAGAGGGTCCTGTACCACACGCGCTGTGAACCTGCGCCTGCTTGTCCTGCTGATGGCCACACTGATCCTTTGCAGGGTCGGTGCCCAGCCCCCAACAGGGGCAGAGGAGGGAGCGTGTCTGGGTGAGTCCTCCCCCGGTGGAGGGTGGGCTGGGTGCCGACCAGCCGTGGAGCTGACATCTCTGTTGACTCTCTGCAGTGGATCTGATCACATCAAGCCCCCAGTGCCTGCACGGCTTGGTGGGATGGGTGCACGGACACGCGGCCAGCTGCAGGGCCCTGCCCCGCCTTCAGAGGACACTGTCCTCTGAGTACTGCGGCGTCATCCAGGCCGTGTGGGGCTGCGACCAGGGCCACGACTACACCATGGACACCAGCTCCAGCTGCAAAGCCTTCTTGCTGGACAGTGCGTTGGCGGTCAAGTGGCCATGGGACAAGGAGACGGTGCCACGGCTGCCCCAGCACCGAGGGTGGAACCCTGGGGACGCCCCTCAGACCTCCCAGGGTAAAGGGACAGGGACCCCAGTTGGGGCTGAGACCAAGATTCTGCCCAGCACGGATGAGGCCCAGCCTCCTTCGGACAGCGACGCGGTGGGGCCCAGGTCGGGCTTCCCACCTCAGCCAAGCCTGCCCCTCTCCGGGGCCCCAGGTAGGAGGCACCTCTTGCTGGTGCTAGACCAGGATCTGTGCTCCTCAGCCGGGCAGGGTTTTCAGCAGAAAATGGATGTCTCCACTGCTCTAGGTGGTGGCCGGAGCGTGGTGTGAGAAGGAACAGAGCTTGGGGCTTCGGCCTGCGGCAGCTCACCACATCCAGAGAGCAGGGAGGGGCGGCCGGCCTGTCTCGGCCTCTTGCTCTGTGAGCAGGGCTTTGTTCCAGCAGTTTCTGTGGAGACACGCTCATCAGCCATCTAGTCTTCCTCTAAGCTTGTGCTTGGGGCTGAGGGGACTGAGGAAGAAAAGAATGGGGCCTTGTCTGTGGACGTGGGAGAAGAGAATGGCCATTGCCTCTGTGGCTGCTGCCCTGGGCCAGCTGCAGGTCATTTCCTGGCGCTCAGCCAGCCGCCTGGTGACACCCTGGTGTGGGCCAGTGTGGCGCAGCTTTCTCTGCTGACAGGCTGAGGGGAACACAAGGCCCTTGTTTGGGCCCCAGAACCCTTAGCACTGTGGGCTGGTACAGCTGCTTCTGGATGTTGTGTTAGGAGGGCTGGGGCCAGTTTCCCTCCGGCCTCTTGTCGTGCGTGTGCTCTGCGTACCTGTCCCCACCTGGGCACTCAGCTCCCACCTTGAGTCCTCAGGGGAGCTTCCAAAAAATGTAGCTACCTGTTATCCTAGACTTTGGGAGGCTGAGGTGGGCGGATCACTTGAGGTCCGGAGATCAAGACTAGCCTGGCCAACATAGCAAAACCCCATCACTAATAAAAATACAAAAACTAGCTAGGCATGGTGGTGGGCACCTGTAATCCCAGGTACTCTGGAGGCTGAGGCATGAGAATCTCTTGAGCCTGCGAGGCAGAGATTGCAGTGAGCCGACATCGCACTGCTGTACTCCAGCCTGGGCGATAGAGCGAGACTCCGTCTCAAATAAAAACTCAGCTACCCAGATAGTTCAGAAAGATACGGGTGCACAGATGAGACAGTGTGGCTTGGGGGCCTTGGGTAGGAACGGGATTGTGAGTGTCACGTCTTAGAGCTGCTTGGCTTTTAAACTTGTATGCAGTATGTTGACAACAATGCTATCTCTGTACCTGTGTATCTATTTTTGCGACAGAGTCTCGTTCTGTAGCCCAGGTTGGAGTGCAGTGGCGCGATCTTGGTTCACTGCTACCTCTGCCTCCCGGGTCCTGGTTCAAGCAATTCTCCTGCCTCAGCCTGCCAAGTATCTGGGATTACAGGCACGCGTCACCACACCCAGCTAATTTTTGTATTTTTAATAGAGACGGGGTTTCACCATGTTGGCCAGGCTGGTCTCGAACTCCTGACCTTGTGATCCACCTGCCTCGGCCTCCTGGAGTGCTGGGATTACAGGTGTGAGTCACTGCGCCCGGCTGAGAACAATACTGTTTAAAGCTTATTTTAGGCCAGGTGCAATGGCTCACGCCTGTAATTCCAGCACTCTGGGAGGCTGAGGCGGGTGGATCGTGAGGTCAGGAGATTGAGACCAGCCTGGCTAACATGGTGAAACCCCGTCTCTACTAAAAATAACAAAAAACTAGCCGGGCATGGTGGCGGGTGCCTGTAGTCCCAGCTACCCTGGAGGCTGAGGCAGGAGAATGGCATGAACCCTGGAGGCGGAGCTTGCAGTGAGCCAAGATCGCACCACTGCACTCCAGCCTGGGTGACAGAGCGAGATTCCGTCTCAAAAAAAAAAAAAAATAGCTGGGTGTGGTGATGAGCACCTGTAGTCCCAGCTACTCGGGAGGCTGAGGCAGGAGAATCGCTTGACCCTGGGTGGCGGAGATTACAGTGAGCTGAGATCCTGCCACTGCGCTCTAGCGTGGGCGACAGAGCAAGACTCCATCTCAAAAAAAAAACTTTAAGTAGAGGTGGAGTCTCACTGTTTTGTCCAGGCTGGTCTTGAATTTCTGGCTTCAAGTGATTCTCCTGCCTTGACCTCCTAAAAGCCTGGGATTATAGGCATAAACCACCAGGCCTGGCCGAGAGAACAGTAATATTATTTATTTATGGAGTCTTGCTCTGTTCCCCAGACTAGAGTGCAGCGGCACGATCTCAGCTCACTGCAACGTCTGCCTCCTGGGTTCAAGTGATTCTCCTACCTCAGCCTAATGAGTAGCTGAGACTACAGGCTCGTGCCACCACGCCCGGTTAATTTTTTGTATTTTTATTTTTAGTTTTTTTTTTTTGAGACGAAGTTTCACTCTGTTGCCCAGGCTGGAGTGCAGTGGCGCGATATCAGTGAGCCGCAACCTCCGCCTCCCAGGGTCAAGCGGTTCTCCTGCCTCAGCCTCCTGAGTAGCTGGGATTACAGGCACCCACCACCATGCCTGGCTAATTTTGTATGTTTTAGAAGAGATGGGGTTTCTCCATGGTGGTCAGGCTGGTCTTGAACTCTGGACTTCAGGTGATCCACCTGCCCCAGCCTCCCAAAGTGCTGGAATTACAGGCATGAGTTACCATGCCCGGCCCAATTTTTTGTATTTTTAGTGGAGACGGGGTTTCACCGTGTTAGCCAGGTTGGTCTCGATTCTCCTGACCTTGTGATCCACCCGCATCGGCCTCCCAAAGTGCTGGGATTACTACAGGCATGAGCCACCCTGCCTGGCCCAGTAATTGTTTAAATGTCTCAGAAAATCCACCAAGTCCAGGCTGTCCTAGAAGGAGTGGATCGGAGTCTGTGGAAGGACTGGGCTTTCTGGTTCTGCTGTTCCTGAGGGTTCTGATGCTTGTTACTGCCTGTGTGTTTCTGGACGTCGGGCTGGCGGGACAGGATCGGAGGCCACGTAGCACTCTTGGCAGGGATGGGGCCGAGGTGGGGGGAACTTGCGGGTCAGGGACCCCGGGCTCCCTTCTGCTCATCAGTAGTGGAGTCGTACCTCCTGGCAGGTGAGACCTTTCTGTGCTCCATGTTGGTGACAGGACCTTGTTCTTTGTTTCTCAGGGCAGTTGGGTGAGAAGCAGGTCCCATCTTCAACCTCGGATGATCGGGTAAAAGACGAGTTCAGTGACCTTTCTGAGGGGTGAGAGAAGAGTGGGTTTAAATAGCCTAACATTTCTCCTTCAAAAACCAAACAGCCATCGTAGGGCCAGCTGCCCGTGCCCTGGTACCAAACTAAGCTGTCACAGGGGCCGGCTGTCTGTCCCTGGCTGGGACGCGCCTCCTCTCGAGGTGGGAGGAGAGGAGGGCTGGGGAGCTTCCGAGCCTCTTGTCTCTGATTGGTGGTTTCCTGGGGGCCAGAGGGCACCCCCAGACCTGAGGCAGCTCCAGAGGGAGCTCGATAGGGTTTCTGACCTGGAGCAGCCTAGAAGTGAGTTTGTTGAAACCACTCTGTGGCTGGGTCCTTTGTTTCTGCTGCTGTTTTCTCTTTTAGGGCTATGGTTTTGTGTTCGCTCCAGCTCTTTCTGGAGTAGAGGAAGCCTGACTTTAGCCCTTGACTATGACACTGTTCTGACTTGAAGCAGAGGCTCCGTGAGGAGGTGTTGGAGGAGGACAGGCCTCAGAAGGGACCCCATCAGTGTCTGCAAACTCCCTGGGCCACCCCTGCCTCTCAGCCAAGCGCCACTCAGGGCAGTTGTGCCAGGCTGGGGTTTGCACCATTTCCACCCTCTCCTGTCAACCTCAGCTGCAACACAGACGCACCTCATCCAAATGAGGACAGCCCAGTCTGGGGGGCAATCCCAGTGGGGTGTCCAGTGATGAAATCGGGCAGGTGCCAGGAGGCACCTGGGCTGGCTGAGGCTGTCCTCAAGACCACCAGGAAACGAAACCACAACTCAGGTTTCAGCATAAAGGCCACAGTCTTTTTTTTTTTTTCTTTTCCTTTTGTGAACTTTGTTTTTAGACCGAGCCTCACTCTGTTGCCCGGGCTGGAGTGCAGTGGCGCCGTCTTAGCTCACTGCGACCTGCACCTTCCGCTTTCAAGCGATTCTCCCGCGTCAGCCTCCCGAGTAGCTGGGATTACAGGTGCCCGCCACCACGCCCAGCTAATTTTTGTATTTTTAGTAGAGACAGGGTTTCCCGGTATTGGCCAGGCTGGTCTTGAACTCCTGACCTCAGGCGATCCACCTGCCTCAGCCTCCCAAAGTGCTGGGATTACAGGCTGAACCACCACACCCAGCCACTTGCGTCAACTTAGAAGTGGCTCATGGCAAACCCATCAGCTGCATAGGGGTTTGCAGTTACGGGGTGAGGTGGTTGATTTTTCAGAGTCTGCTTAGCAGGAAGCCACCTTTGAGAGCCTCCACCCCTTCTGGGCTGCTGTGGAAAGTGCTCTTTCCACGTCCAGTGTCCTGGTGCCCGGAGTGCATGGCTTGTGGGGGTTGCTGGCTTGTGAGCCTGGTCGGTCCTTTGCGTTCGGAAATGAGATTGGAAATTTGGGGATTTTAGATTTAAGACATTTTCAGAAGAACTCGAACGTGGGACGTGGGGGTCCATGTGGTAATCTTTAGGCAGGGGGTGTTGTTGGAACTGTTACTGCCCAGGCCCAGGGCTTTCCTGAAGATTCTCTCTTCATTCCTAGAGACGTCTTGAGTGAAGACGAAAATGACAAGAAGCAAAACGCCCAGTCTTCGGATGAGTCCTTTGAGCCTTACCCAGAAAGGAAGTAAGTGGGCAGCCTGGGATCTGCTGGAGGCATCCGCTGGGTGACCTAGACATCCGCCTGTGCCCCAGGGGCTCTCACTGCCCGCTGTGCGTACCCTCCTGGTGGTCTCAGTGCTGTGAAATGACCAGCAGGCCGGGCTAGGGCTGCCTCAGAGTCCCAGCAGTGGACGGCAGGTGTCTGTTGACAAAACCCAGCCTCATTTGAGAACGAGGCTCTTAGGGCCCTTCTGCCAGTCCTGCTCTGGGTTCACACCCCAGTGTCCCCCCGGAATTCCCCAACCCGTTGCTTCTGCTTTGTGTGCATCCTGAGGCCCGAGGACCCAGCTCTGTCATCCTCACAGTTATGACCCCGTCACTGACGTCCATGGCCAGGCAGCCACGGTCCACTTCCTTGTTGAGTCACTTCTGTGCCCTTGTTTTGACTTTGTTTTTAGGGATTTATGTTTCCTCTCTTCGGTTAGAACACAGGCCGTGGTAGTGAGGGCCAGTTTTCACTTGTGCTGTTTTCTTTGCAACCCTGTACCCAGGAGTACCCAGAACACTCCCAGGTAGTTGGCGACTGACCCGGTCCCTGTCCTTGAGCATTTCAGTCCAGAACAAAGGTCCAGAGGGCAGGCGGCTCTGAGTACCACAGTCAGCCGCTGGAACCCTGCAGTGCAGACTGAGAGGCCAACTGCCTTTTTCATTGAAGTTCTGATGCTGTTAAGTTCTGAAAAGAGAAACAGGAGCAGAGGAGGAGGCCGGCGAGAGGGCAGGACTGAGCCAGAGGGGCTGCAGGGGCCTCAGCATGAACAGAAAACTGGTCAGGCCCAGAAAAGGTGCCTGGGGGTCCCACCCTCAGGTTTCTTCCCAGGAATCATGGCTGGGGTGACGCCCGAGGCTGCTGATGAGAAGCCCCCACTCCCTGTGACCCGCCCCAGGTTGAGTCCAAATCCCAGGACACCTGAGAATGTTTCTGTGCCTTGCTGCCCAGAGGGTCTGGGGATGCTGGGGAGAGGAGGGCTGGGAGGGGCCAGGTGAGCCTTTTCCAGAGAGGCAAATTCAGGAGGGGAGGGTCCTCTCTGCTGAGCTCCTGCTGCTGTGACAGGGACAGCACACTCAGACTGTGTCTCTAGTTCCTCTGGACCCCAGGAGTGCAGACAAAGACGTGCTTTGGGACGGAGACACAGGAGACATGTTTTCAGAGGCCTCTAGTTAAAGGGGTGACTTTAGTGGGACCCGCGGCGTAGGAGGCAGGACTGGGTGGTAGCAAGCATGGCCTGACTGCGGCGAGTGCCAGGGGCGCTTGGTTCCTCAGCTGCTACAGTGAGACCCCCCTGGGAACCCAGAAGGGCCTCTGCACAGCCCCCAGCCCACGTGCTGCCTCGCAGTCTTCTCGACTCGACCTTCGCGTTCTAGCAGGCAAGCTCGCCTGCACCCTCAGCTGGGGGCAATGATGTGTTAATGAGGGGTCAGTGGTTCCAGCCAGAGGTGAAGACCAGGGCCTGTGCCCTCGTGGGGAAAGAACTGACAAGCAGCAGTGAGGCCTGAGCCCAGCCCACCCCGTCCGCAAGGATCCCCATCCCAGACACAAGGGCACAGAGACTGCGGGGGCTCCGAAGCCGCCTGTGCTGAGGAAGAGAGCGGTCAGTGTGGGAACCGTACGGCAGCCGCTCAACAAACAAGGGGCCACCCAAGGCAGGCAGGCAGGGCAGGTGAGGGACATGTGGTCAGATCATGAAAACCAGTTATCAGGGACAGGGAGAGAAGGTGCAGCCTGTGCAAAGTCAACACAGTTCTTTTCAATGATTTTTTTTTTTTTTTTTGAGACGGCGTCTTGGTCTGTCGCCCAGGCTGGAGTGCAGTGGTGCGATCTCAGCTCACTGCAAGCTCCACCTCCCGGGTTCAAGTGATTCTCCTGCCTCAGCCTCCTGAGTAGCTGGGATTACAGGCGTGCATCACCACACCCAGCTAAGTTTTATATTTCTAATAGAGACGGGGTTTCCCCATGTTGGTCAGGCTGGTCTCAAGCTCCTGATCTCAGGTGATCCGCCCACCTCAGCCTCCCAAAGTGCTGGGATTACAGACGTGAGCCCCTGCGACCAGCCTCAGTGCATTTAAAGAGAAGGGCAGTTAGTGACAGGGTCTCATGCTCTTGCCCAGGCTGGGGTGCATTGGTACGATCATGGCTGATGGCAGCCTTGTGTGCTCAAGCGAGCCTCTCACCTCAGCCTCCCAGAGTGCTGGGATTGCCAGTGTGAGCCACTGGACTCGGCAGTGTAAATTACTTTTTTCATGCTTTTGCATATGGATTTTTCTTTTAATTTCCTTTTTGGATTGTTCATTGATAATACAAAGAAACATAATTGGGTTTTGTGTATGGATTTTACACTCTGCAGCTTTGCTGAAATCATTTATTAGGGTTTTTCTGTATGTGGATCTTCAGGGTTTTCTACATACAAGGTCATGTCATTTGTGAATAGGGAGAATTTTTCTGTTTTCCTTGCCCAGTTACTCTGGCCAGGGCCTCCAGTGCTGTGCTGAGAACAGTGGTGAGAGAACCTGTGTCTTTTCCTCATCCTGGAGGAAGAGCTTTCAGTCTTTCACGATGGAGTGTGGCATGTGCTGTGGGTTTCACGTCGAAGCTTTATCATGATGAAGTTCCCTTCTTTTCCTGAGGGATTTCCTTCCCTATCCTTATCTGGATCCAAAAAGGAACCACAAGTGTGTCTCTCCTCTAAGTCTCCAATAGACATACACTGGACGCTGCTGCATTTGCTGGTCCCTCAGGGACTTGCCAGACCAACTAAAATGCACAACCCCAAAGTTCTGGAGGACAAGGTCTCCTGCCCACCACGGTCCCCGTCAGCAGCTCCAGGAACACAGGCTGGGCTCCCTGCAGCGGGGGCAGGGCTGAGGAACGCGGGAGTGGCAGGTGCTCACTTTGTGCTTCTGGGGGAACAGCACCTGTTCCTCCAAAGCCCCGGCTGGGGCTTGAGCTTGGAATCAAGCTGTCCTGTTTTCAGAGAGTGGATTCTGAGCTTTTTCCTAGCGTTTAAGGTCATTTTGATGAAGGGGTAGCCCCTTTGTCTGTTCTGCCATCTTTCCTGATATCTCCAGGGTTTTATGTGTAGCACAGGATGAAGCTTCAGGTCTCAGAACTCACCCCTGCTGTGCCCTGCGCCCTCGCCCTCTGCTGTGTTCGCCTCTGAGGCCTCCTGTCCAGAGTTGCTCTGGCTGTGGTGGGTTCAGGTAGATTTTGAGGGTCAGTCAGCACAGAAGCAACTCAGGGAAGCTTCAAAAAAACCATCTCTCCTGTTAGAGAGACAAGAAACCTTTTTCAAATGGAGATCAGAAACCACTGAATCTGGGAACCTCTTTTTTTCAGGGTCTCTGGTAAGAAGAGTGAAAGCAAAGAAGCCAAGAAGTCTGAAGAACCAAGAATTCGGAAGAAGCCGGGACCCAAGCCCGGATGGAAGAAGCAGCTTCGTTGTGAGAGGTGAGGCCTGGAGCTCGAGGCTCGTCCTGCCTGTCGGGTCCGGGCTCCATGCGTGCTCTTTGTTGCAGGGAGGAGCTTCCCACCATCTACAAGTGTCCTTACCAGGGCTGCACAGCCGTGTACCGAGGCGCTGACGGCATGAAGGTGAGCATGGGCTGTGCCGGACCAGGCCCCGCAGCTGTCCGTGTGAGCCTGGGGCAGGCACCGGGTGTTTCCGCAGAGCCTGACTCAGACTTGTGCCCAAGGTGACCGGGGACCTGGGGTAGATGTGGGGCCAGACTTTCGGTCTAGAAGTGTCTTGGAGTGAAGCTGTGGAGGAACCAGTGGTGGAGCTGGAGGAGCTGGATCTGCCTTCCTTCCAGGGGCATCAGCTGCCACCCGCTGAGGGCCCGTGCCGCTCGGCCGGGTGAGGCTCTGCGGGTCTCTCACTGAGTCTCTCCTGCAGAAGCACATCAAGGAGCACCACGAGGAGGTCCGGGAGCGGCCCTGCCCCCACCCTGGCTGCAACAAGGTTTTCATGATCGACCGCTACCTGCAGCGGCACGTGAAGCTCATCCACACAGGTACTGCCGTCGTCAGCGTCACCGGCACGGTGATAGCCAGGGGCACGTGACCTGCTTTCCCGTCTTCCTGATACCATCCCCACCCCAAGAGTTGGGGATCGCCTGCAGGTGGCTGATGGGGCCTCAGGTACTCACAGTCATGTAGGTGGATGAAGGCTAGAGTAGGGCATCAGTCTGAATCTGCCCTTCCCTGTGATGGGGGGAATTCCTGACTTCCCCAGGATCTAGGCAGTTTGTCAAAACCGATAGCCAAGCAATCTTGGTGTCCCTTTGCAAATTGATCACTTTAAATTTTTTTTGAGATGAAGTCTTGCTCTGTTGCCCAGGCTGGAGTGCAGTGGCACCATCTTGGCTCACCACAACTTCCGCCTCCCGGGTTCAAGTGACTCTTCTGCCTCAGCCTCCCAAGTAGCTGGGACTACAGGTGCACATTAGCAACCACGCCTGCTAATTTTTGTAATTTTTGGCAGAGACAGGGTTTCACCATGTTGGCCAGGCCAATCCCTTAACTCCTGACCTCAAGTGATCCACCTACCTCGGCCTCCCAAAGTACGGAGATGACAGGTGTGAGCACCACACCCGGCCCAAACGAGTGTCTCTTAAAAGTACGGAGATGACAGGTGTGAGCACCACACCCGGCCCAAACAAGTGTGTTAAAAGGGAAGGCGGGAGGTAGAAGGCATGAAGGTATGCCCACTCTGGGGAGCTGCCCGTGTGGACAGACGGGAGGCACGTGTGGTTCTGCTGCTTCACGTGTGTATAGCTCGTCTCATGAAGACCGGAAGTGGATGGGGGAGTTGTGACTGAGGGTGCTGTCTCTGTGCCTGTCTTATTTTTCACAATTTCTATAATGTAGAAGTTACTTTTATAATCCAACAAGGATATGTTTTCAAAATGACAAACTTGGCTGGGCACGGTGGCTCTCACTGTAATCCCAGCACTTTGGGAGGCCAAGGTGGGTGGGTCAACTGAGGTCAGCAGTTCGAGACCAGCCTGGCCAACATGGTAAAACGCCATCTATACTAAAAATGCAAAAATTAGCTGGGCGTGGTGGCGCATGCCTGTAGGCACAGCTACTTGGGAAGCTGAGGTGGGAGAATTGCTTGAACCCAGGAGGTGGAGGTTGCAATGAGCCGAGATCACACCACTGCACTCCAGCCTGGGCAACAGTGAGACGCTGTCTCAAAAAAAAAAACAAAACTTAAACTATGTGGACCCATGTATATGTGGTCAGGGACTCAAATCCCTGGTATTCAGAGGGCTGCCTTTCATAAGTGCAGGTTCTGTAGGGTCTCTGCAGGGCTAACTTAGGGACTTGAGTATGAGCAGATTTTGGTAAGGGTTGGGGTGCGGCGGGGAACCAGCTGAGGACAACTGTATATTGATCCTTAAATAGTTTTCTTTGGTTTTGAACTTATTACAGAATTAATAAGAATTATTTATTTTTATTTGAATTTACTACAGAAAGTCTTTTTTCATTAGGATTGATTTTTACTGCTGGATCATCTCCTGACATGCGGGTTATTTTGTTATTTTTTTGGGTTCTCCCACATCTCTCCTGATGGCAGCAGTTCCTTGTGTTTGGTTCTTCAGACTCTGCATCTGTCCACTGACTGATGGTCACAAGTAGCAGTTCCTTAAAAACCTGAAATCAGGCTGGGTGCAGTGGCTCATGCCTGTAATCCCAGCACTTTGGAGGCTGAGGCAGTAGGATTGCTTGAGGCCAGGAGTTTGAGACCAGCCTGGGCAACATAGTAAGACTGTCTCTACCAAAGATACTTTTTTAAATTTAGTGATTGAGACAGAGTCTGACTGTTATTGCCCAGGCTGGAGTGCAGTGGCGCGATCTTGGCTCACTGTAACCTCCGCCTCCCTGGTTCAAGTGATTCTCCTGCCTCAGCCTCCCGAGTAGCTGGGACTACAGGCATCCGCTGCCACACTGGGGTTTTTTTTTTTTTTTTGAGACGGAGTCTTGCTCTATCGCCCAGGCTGGAGTGCAGTGGCCAGATCTCAGCTCACTGCAAGCTCCGCCTCCCAGGTTTACACCATTCTCCTGCCTCAGCCTCCTGAGTAGCTGGGACTACAGGCGCCCGCCACCTCGCCCGGCTAGTTTTTTGTATTTTTTAGTAGAGACGGGGTTTCACCGTGTTAGCCAGGATGGTCTCGATCTCCTGACCTCGGGATCCGCCCGTCTCGGCCTCCCAAAGTGCTGGGATTACAGGCTTGAGCCACCGCGCCCGGCCATGGGGTTTTTTTTTTTTAACAAAAGAGTCTCGCTCCGTCGCCCAGGTTGGAGTGCAGCGGCACAATCTCAGCTCACTGCAAGCTCCACTTCCCGAGTTAAAGCCATTCTCCTGCCTCAGCCTCCTGAGTAGCTGGGACTGCAGGCACCTGCCACCACGCCTGGCTAATTTTTCGTATTTTCACTAGAGATGGGGTTTCACCGTGTTAGTCAGGATGGTCTTGATCTCCTGACCTCGTGATCCACCTGCCTCGGCCTCCCAAAGTGTTGGGATTACAGGTGTGAGCCACCGTGACGCCCAGGTAATTTTTATATTTTTAGTAGAGAGGCGGGTTTTGCTGTGTTGGCCAGGCTGGTCTTGAGTTCCTGACCTCAGGTGATTTGCCTGCCTCAGCCTCCCAAAGTGCTGGGATTACAGGCATGAGCCACCATTCCCAGCCCCATTTTTTTTTTTTTTCTTTCCGAGACAGTGTGTTGCCCGGGCTGGAGTGCAGTGGTACAATCTCAGCTGACTGCAACCTCCGCCTCCTGGGTTCATGCAGTTCTCCTGCCTCTGCCTCCCGAGTAGCTTGGACTACAGGCACCCGCCACCATGCCCAGCTAATTTTTGTATTTTTAGTATAGATGGGGTTTCACTATGTTGGCCAGGCTGCTCTTGAACTGATGTCATGATCCGCCTGCCTTGGCCTCCCAAAGTGCTGAGAGTGAGCTGTGAGCCACTGCACCAGCCCCCCATGGTGGTGCACACCTGTGGCCCCAGCTACAAGTTGCTTGAACCTGGGAGGTGGAGGTTCCAGTGAGCTGAGATTGGGCTATTGCAGTCCAGCCTGGGCAACAGACCAAGACTCACGTCTCAAAAAAAAAAAAAAAACAGGGTAGAGTAAAATGTCAAGTTAGAGTTTCCCTCTGCAGGGAAGTCTGTTTTGTGAAGTGTTTTGGGGCTGGACAGCTGTGGAGGCAGCACAGGGAGAATGGGTCTGACTGGAAAGTGGTATCTCTGTTCAAGGGTGCAAGAGAGGTTTCCAGAGCGAGTGCAGCCTTGCATAAGCCCCAGCCTTGGGGACGGCCCCGCTCGTACAGAGATGAATCCTAGAGAACAGCCATAGCTGTGACAGTCAGTGATCCATACAGCCTTAGCAATACGGCGTCCTTTAATAATTTGTAGGCCAGGCACAGTGGCTCATGCGTGCCAGCACTTTGGGAGACCGAGGCAGGCGGATCACGAGGTCAGGAGTTCAAGACCAGCCTGGCCAATATGGTGAAACCCCATCTCTACTAAAAATACAAAAATCAGCTGGGCATGGTGGTGGGCGCTTGTAGTCCCAGCTACTCGGGAGGCGGAGGTTGCAGTGAGCCGAGACTGTGCCACTGCACTGCAGCCTGGGTAACAGAGCGGGACTTCATCGCAAAAAAAAAAATTTGTGTTTAAGGAAATAGATTTCTGAAGTTTCTTTAAAAATCATCCTCACATGCACACGGCTGATGAAGCCATATGATAGTATATCAAGCGGTTTAGAGATCTTAATAAATGAGGCCCTCAGAGGCCCCTTGCTTGGGCCCACTGTATGGTGTGTGGAAACTTCTTCCCGGCTGTGATGTTTTACATTGTCGTCGGCGTCCCCCCGGGAGGTTGGAGCATCAGGGGCCTGGACTCACTGGACTCTCCTCTCTCAGAGGTGCGGAACTACATCTGTGACGAGTGTGGACAAACCTTCAAGCAGCGGAAGCACCTTCTCGTCCACCAAATGCGACATTCAGGAGCGAAGCCTTTGCAGTAAGTGTGAGCCAGGCCCTCCCCAGGGCTGTGGCTGGCCCACGCAGCTTCTTACCTGCCTCTGTCCCCCAGGTGTGAGGTCTGTGGGTTCCAGTGCAGGCAGCGGGCGTCCCTCAAGTACCACATGACCAAACACAAGGCTGAGACTGAGCTGGACTTTGCCTGTGACCAGTGTGGCCGGCGGTTCGAGAAGGCCCACAACCTCAACGTACACATGTCCATGGTGCACCCGTTGACACAGACCCAGGACAAGGCCCTGCCCCTGGAGGCAGAGCCACCACCCGGGCCACCGAGCCCCTCTGTGACCACAGAGGACCAGGCGGTGAAGCCAGAACCCACCTGAGGACGGCAGTGGGGATGAGCACCTCTAGCAGCCTGGACGCTGCAATGGCCGTGTCAGCCTCACCCTTCGTGCGCACCTGCATGGGAGGCTGGGGGTGCTGCCCGCCCTTGGTGTACAGCTCAAGTAGCCTCCTCTGCTCTGGGACCAGCGGTTTATTTTCCTACAAACACTGAGTGACTTGGGGCCAGACAGTTTATAAACAATTGATTCCTTTTCCCCACTAAAGCAATCGAGGAGATTTGTAATCCACTTTTTAGTGCAACAGGAGCTCCGTGTTATGCTTGTAATAAATTATTTACAAAGGAGCTGGGCTGGTGTGCAGTGGCAGGTCCTCTCAGAAGAGATGAGGCTCCTGGTACAGGTCAGCGTCAGGAGCAGCCTGCTGCCGGCTCCGGAGGGCAGTGCTCACCTCTGGGTCGCAGTCCCCACGATCAGCCAGCAGCTATGAGAAAGGAGCAGGTCCTCAGCCCATGCCGTCCACTGGGCCTCAGACCACAGGGAAGGGGCTCTGGCAGAAACAGTGGCGTCGCATTGCCAGCCGGGCGGGCACGTGGCCCAGGCAGCTGTGATTTCTCGTGTCCCCCACGTGGCCCAAGGTGGGTGTCTTGACGTTACCTCTGCCATGTGTGAGAAGCTCTTTTTTGGGCACCGAGGTATTAACTGCAGCAGAAAAAGACGAGCTTTTGTTATCAATTCCACAGGGTTGCCCTAGAGAGAAAACAGGCAAAGTCACAGGTTAGAAGACACTGAAACAGGGCTGGTGTGTCCCCCCCAGTCTGCATTCTGTGTTGGAGCATTCTTTGGCAGAAGGAGCCTCAGGCTGCGGGGAGCTCCCCTGGAGATGGGACTGGCCCTTGCACCTGCCTGACCCTGGAGCTCCAGGCTCCTGCCGGCTGGAGGTGAAACTGTGCTTGTGTCCCCAGCCACGAAGAGCTGGACCAGCCTCAGGTACATGTCAACAGCAACATGCAGGAAGGCCTCTTCCCTGATGGCCGCGTCGTCGTGGAAGTAGGAGAGAAGACTAGAAATAGACATGGTGACGAGTGGCTGCAGACTGCTGGAAAGGTAGCAGGTGATGCCAAGGGATGCTGCTGCTCTGTGCGGCAGAGGCACAGGCAACCCTTCCCCTCTGGCGGGAGAGCCAGAGCTGCTAAGATGGGGTCTGGGAAACACTGCCCCTGCCCTGACCATGCACGGCTGTGCCCTGCTCCCTGAGCAGCCTGTAGGTGAAGGTACCTGTAGAACGTGAAGGGCAGCAGCCTGGTATGCTGGTCCGGGGCCACGCGGAGGAGGAGTCGCCCCAGCCTGAGGTCTGCAACACCAAGAGGTGGCTCAGGCAACTCTGGACGTCTCTGCCTGTTACCAGTGCTGGGGGACACCCCTGGGGGTTGGGACGTGTACCCTGGGAGGCCTGGCTGTGGGGGGGGGGGGGTGCGGAGCAAACAGCCTGAGCCAAGGATACCTGGGCACCCGTCAGCAGCTGGGAGAGGAAGGGGGTGTGGGGCAGAGAGAGGCAGTCCCCACGATAGGCCATTGGTCCTGGGGTTGACCAGTGAGCCAGTAAATTATCTTACACGTTTGTACTTAATCTGTCCCAACTGAAACGGAACTTACAAACTTAGGAGAAAGATAGTCATGAAAATGAATGAGTGAACCTCAAGGAGGGCACGTTCTTAACCATTTGAAAGTTGCGTCTGAAAAGAGCAGCCCTCCGCATCCGCGCCTCAGCAGTGTTTCTCACCACTCTCTGTCAACTGGAAGAGCGCCAGCCAGGATATCTTCCTCTTCTCTAAACACTCGAGGACTGCAGCACAAACATCTAAAGCCTTTGATGGGTCCGTGGCACTCTGTAAACCGCAGGAGAGCAACCCTGAGAATGGCCGACCTGCTGTGCTCCCGCGGGTAGGAGGGCACAGTCCTCAGCACAGAAGGCATTTCTTCTTTGCTTACTGAAAGTCTTAAAACTGGTGACAACCTATGGAAGATAACACTGGGCCTCTGGACAGAAGAGGCTCAGGTAGGAGGCCAGGGACTTCAAGCACCCACACCAAGGCTGCTGCACCACGTCCTGAAATAAGGCATTAAAAGAAAGGTCCTGCCGGGCGCGGTGGCTCAGCCTGTAATCCCAGCACTCTGGTGGCTCCTGCCTGTCATCCCAGCATCTGGGAGGTCGAGGCGGGTGGATCACGAGGTCAGGAGATCGAGACCATCCTGGCCAACACGGTGAAACCCCGTCTCTACTAAAAATACAAACAAATCTAGCCGGGCAAGGTAGCGGGCGCCTGTAGTCCCAGCTGCTCGGGAGGCTGAGGCAGGAGAATGGTGTGAACCCGGGAGGCGGAGCTTGCAGTGAGCCGAGATCACGCCACTGCACTCCAGCCCAGGCCACTGAGCAAGACTCCGTCTCAAAAAAAAAGGCCCACAGGCTGGATGCAGTGGCTCATGCCTGTAATCCCAACCCTTTGGGAGGCCGAGGTGGGCGGATCACTGAGGCCAGTTCAAGACTAGCCTGGCAATATGGTGAAACCCCATCTCTACTAAAAACACAAAAATTAGCCGGGCGTGGTGGCGCACGCCCATAATCCCAGCTACTTAGGAGGCTGGTGCAGGAGAATCGCTTGAACCCAGGAGGCAGAGGTTGCAGTGAGCCGAGATCACACCACTGCACTCCAGCCTGTACAACAGAGCGAGACTCCTATGTCAAAAAAAAAAAAAAATGCTCACGGCGTGGGAGTTTTCACACTTCCGCAAACACAAGGAGCTCCTGAGCCACTCTGGAAACCCTGACTTGGAAACTGGCTGCCTGGTGCCCCTGCCCGGCCACAGTGGGAGAGGACACCTTGGCTGGTAAGGTCTGACTTACATTTGAGGTCAGATGTGACGAGAGCAGGCCCATCAAGGAGAAGAAGAAAAGGAAAACCAATAGCTGCAAATAAAAACGTGCACTTCTTACTACATTAAAATTACCTGTGCTCTGTCATTCTAAATAAGGCCGAAACGTTCCTCTTTAATTGCAGTTTTTTACATCTAGGCCATAAATCCTTTAAGTGGATCTTAGAAAACCTTCCAATCACTTTTACAGAGACAGCTTGATTGAGAATTAATTACTGCTGGCTGGGTCATTTCATACTTGCCTTTAAACAAAGCTAGAAACAGTTTGAAAAAGTGACAAGAGCCAGAAGGAAGACTACTGCAGTCTCCTTGGCTGTGCGCAGTCCCAACTCACCATCATCTCCCTGCAAGGCCTCCTGTCAGAAGTGTTTGTAAAATCCTTGAAGATAAACCCACAGGCTCCATCCTAACCCAGGGCCTGACTGTGGACGCTGACCTCTCCACACACTAGGGCCTTAAGGCCCTGGAGCCACTAAAATCCCTTCTAACAAAACTACACAAGAAACCTGAAGACGCACCCAGAAGAAGCCCTATAGGGTGGTTATAATCACCAAAACCCCGTCACTGCTGTTGGCACAGCTTTCAGCTGGTGTAAGTCGTGTGCTGACACGGCACCTATGCATTGACGATCTTGGGCTGCACACGAGGATCTCGGGCTGCAGCTCTCCTGTGGGATGCTTGTTTCCGTGCCTGTTCTACACACACCGCCCTGGGCTCCCTGCACAGAGGGCTGTGGGTGTCACTGGTCTTGCGGAGGCTGTCAGGCTACCCAGGGCGCAGCAACCAGGTGGGTCTTAGCCCAGCGTGGTCCCTGGCCGGGAACTTGGAGCAGCCTCCTCTCCCACTCCTTTCCCCATGCCTGTAGCTGCAGACAGTCGTGTCCTTGCTGCCTCTTGTCCCCAGCACCCCAGCTCTGAGCTGTCTCACTGCAAGCTTATCTGGGGCTGTCCCTCGGCAAGTGAATCGAGGCTACTGCAGCATGAACGCAGAAGGCACCACCTGAAGCTGACAGTTTTTACACTGGGCTGTGATGAGGATAAGACTAAGCTGAAGAAAAGCACTTCAAGCCTGGGCAACATAGTCAGACCCCGATCTCTGTTTTACTTTTTTGGTTTTCTTTGAGACGGAGTCTCACTCTGTCGCACAGGCTGGAGTGCAGTGGCGCGATCTCGGCTCACTGCAAGCTCCGCCTCCCTGGTTCACGCCATTCTCCTACCTCAGCCTCCCGAGTAGCTGGGACCACACGCGCCGCCGCCACATCCGGCTAATTTTTTTTTGTATTTTTAGTAGAGACGGGGTTTCACCGTGTTAGCCAGGATGGTCTTGATCTCCTGACCTCGTGATCCGCCCGCCTCAGCCTCCCACAGTGCTGGGATTACAGGCGAGAGCCACCGCGCCCGGCCTACTTTTTAAAATTATTTTTTTTGAGACAAGAGTCTCGCTCTGTCACCCAGACTGCAGGGCAGTGGCATGACCTCGGCTCACTGCAGCCTCTGCCTACCGGGTTCAAGCGATTCTCCTGCCTCAGTCTCCTGAGTAACTTTACAGGCTATGGGATTACAAGCGTGCACCACCACACCGGGCTAATTTTTGTATATTTTGTAGAGATAGGGTTTTACCATGTTGCCCAAGCTGGTCTTGAACTCATGACGTCAAGTGATCCACCTGCCTCAGCCTCCAAAGTGTTGGAATTAGAGGCATGAGCCACCGTGCCCAGACTAGAGACCCCTATCTCAGAAAAAATTATAAAATTAGCTGGGCATGGTGGCACACACCTGTAGTCCCAGCTACTCCAGAGGCTGAGGTAGGAGGATGGCCTGAGCCCAGGAGAACGAGGCTGCAGCGAGCTGTGATTACACCACTGCACTACAGCCTGGGCGGCAGAGTGAGACCCTGTCTCAAACACATACAACCATTTTAAAAAGTGGAATTACTATTACTAGTAAACTTGAGAGTCAAAGTCTTACTCTAAGCCTCATATATGTCTTTAGAAAAACGCAGCTCATCACGCAGGCCCAGAGAAGCTGCACGGATTGAAACCAAGCTTGCGAGAAAAGAATCAGTAAAAGAATTTCCTGTCTTGCCTCCTCTCTCTCGCAGTCCAGCTTCGTTAGCTGCTTCCTGATGTTTTCTTCCCTGACTTGTTGAATCGCAAAGTGCAGTGCAGCAGCTGAGAGCCAGGCCGGGTTAGGTGCCGGGGAGGCGGCATTAGGGGAGAGGAAACTGGGACAGAGAAAACAGGGTCAGTGCAGGGCCTTACAGCCAAGTCCTTATTCCCACCTGTCGCCTTTGGGGCTTGCCTTTCCATCAGAGAACACAGAAGGGCTTCAGGACCATCAGAAACTAGGTCTGCATCCCCCAGCACCCCCAGGTCCACTGAGAGTCTGGGCAGGTGCTGGTACTGCCCCTAGCGCATCCTGGCATTCTGAGAGCTCCTGCTGACAGGAGGCAGCCGGCTGGGTCCTGTCCACCTTGCCCTGTGCTCTTGGGCCCCAGCTGCGTAAGTTTTGGAAGAAGAGGCCTTATTTCCCTCAGTTCTCCCTGCCTGGCCCTGTGACTGGATCAGGCAATTCCCTCCTAGAACGGAGAGCAAAGGACTACCTGGGTAGCTGGGATTACAGGCGCCCACCACAAGAACTCGGTTCTTTTCTCCCTGCTCACACAACACACTGCCCACACTACTTTCCTCAAGCAAGCCAGGGTGTTTAGGAGATGACCTCGAGCAGGTCCTAAAGTGCATCTGGGCAGGCACACCCCGTCCTCACCACCCACACGTACTCGCTGGCAAACTGCCGGCCTTCTTGCAGCTTCTGCAGTTCCCGGGGCAGTGGACTCTGGCAGTGTCTCCTCCACTGGCAGAGCAGCACAGGCTCCAGGCTCGGCCACCACAACTAGAGAGCAGGACACAGATGAGGGGGGCTGGGGTGGACACACCTCCGCTGCCACAGCTATGACAAGCCCACGGCGCTCCTACAGGCCACCACGGGCCCACACTCACCCTGCGCTCTCGAACTCCAAAGCCAGTATCTTTTTACCTCAGTTAAGGCTCAAAGCAGTTCCATGAGGCATTATTACCCACACTCATGGAAGACGTGTAATTTGGAGAAGGAAGAGCCTGGCCTAACGAAACAGTGAAGGGACCACACTGCCCCTGAGCTGGGAATGCCTGGTCCTTCGATGTCCTCAGCTGAGAGCTGGCGTTCTAAACACGGAAGAGTTCATTTATCGTGAATTCCACTAACTGAGCTACAACTCGGTGCAAATGCAGCGTGGGGAGCTCCTTGGGGAACATGCTGTGCTGCGGGAGAAAAAGGCCCTCGTGTCCCTGATAACTGAGAAGGCAGGGCGACAGCTATGGTCTTCAGGACTAAGTGAGCCGTCACGGAAGTGAGGGAAATGCTGCCCCCTCCCACTCCCGGGACCCTGGGCTGTTAAGGGAGCCTGCTGAGCTCTGGCGGGAGCTGAGGTGAAGTCTCTGCTCCGAAGTCCCAAGAAAGCGTAGTCGGGCGCCAGTGGGCCACGGTTATGCTCTCGTGAGGGGGCACAGGCAGCCACCGTACAGCCTCCAGCCAATTCGTAACCCAAGACGGTGAACAAACAAGCCCTGCACCCCTGTGGACACGAAGGTGCCCGTGGGGTCTGAGCGGGGTCCACAGGGGAAAAGTCCTGAGGGTGCCCATGGCCGCGGCGGTGGGGGCGGGGACAGTTCTAGGAACTCAGGACACGTGGCCCTCATCTGCTGCGAGCTGGCATCTTTAACTGTGGCCTCCATGTCTCCTGACGAATTTTCTCTGAGATGATAACACCCCTGATGGAGAAGTGCTGCAGAGACGCCAGAGGCAGCCGTGGAGTCTCCCACTCATCCCCCAAACAAAACTCCCAACAAGACAGCTGGCCTACCAGAGCAGAGGTCAAAATTAAGGGGCATTTTGTCTGGCACTTGGCCAACATGAAGTCGACCATCAGGGAGGGGTCTCTGCTCCGCAGACAGGCGTTCAGGAGGCCCTGCAGGAGAGAGCGCACCAGGAGGTCGGCGGTTTGCGAGGACCCACAACCAGCGGAGTGCAGGAACTCGCAGGAAGCTGACAGGAGGACCCACCCCCAGCATTCTGAGAAGGCCATGGGAGGGGCTGAGGGAGCAGCTTACCCTGAAGAAGTGGGCAGTGATGTCCTGTGTCAGGGCACCTCCGTGGGAGCAGAAGTTTCTCTGCAAGAGAGTTCAAGGCAGGTAAGAAA